TCTCTCTCTCTCTCTCTCTCTCTCTCTCTCTCTCTCTCTCTCTCTCTCTCTCTCTCTCTCTCTCTCTCTCTCTCTCTCTCTCTGTGTCTTCTTCTTCGTCGTGGTTTTCTCTGCAGGTGCGCGTGGCGGCTTCTTCAACCTCCGTGTTCGCTATGGCGGACTTCCTCTTCGTTAGCCACTTTGGCTATGGCGCATCACTCTCCCTGCAACACACAACAATGCACGTGGAATAGCGGGTACCAGCTCCGATACCAATGCAATCAGACTCACTCTCATTCACACTTCTCACGCATGCAAACAGGTGCGCAGCAAACTGGCGACAAGCGCCCACTCAGAACTCAGAGGTATGGTAACCGAGAACACAGTTCAAATTCAAGTGCATTTCGATGGCTATGGCGACTCGGCGCCCACACAACTCTCTGTTCGCATACACAGGATCACCCTGGATATCCCACACGCGATACTCTGAATACACACACACACACATACACTGAGCTCTACGTACAACTATGGCGGTTATGGCCGCTACTACCCTATCGCAATGGCTACACTCCTTCTCTCTCGCCCACTTCGTCCTCGGGCTTACTGCAGACCACCTTGCACAAGTCGCTTATGGCAGCGCTTCCGCATGGCTCACACAAGAATGAATGAATGACTGGGCGCTGCCTTTTGATTTATACTTTTGCAGCTCGTTGGTCTGGGCCCTTTTCTATGCCCGTAGTGCACATAGTCCCATGCGGTGCTTGCTTGACTGGACCATGACTGCCTAGGACTTGGACTGCTGACTCAGCACGGGTAGACTCCACCACTTGCCTCACCACTTGCCCACTTGCCTGAGCCTAAATGTGGGAAGCTCCGAAAGGCCACTACTCGGACCTTCCGGAAGGCCGTAGACTTGGCCTTTCGGTACTGTAGCAGCTACGACCTTGACCTTTCCGGATTGTAGCAGCTACGACCTTGACTCTTCGAGAAAGCTACAGCTACGACTTCGAGACCTGACTGGGACTCCTACTCAACAGGTCTACAGATCAAACTCCTGCTACCTATAGACCTTACGACAACCTACCGACTGTTACAAATACACAGGTCACAGGTTCAACTCTAGGGGTCGACACAGATATTGTGCATAGGTAAGGTGGGGACTAGGGATCGAGCCCTGGGATCTTCATCAGCCACTGCGAACTGGTGAACACTGTTTCGTTCGTAAAAATAGGTAATTAATTTCAAAGTTCAAAATGTGAATTCAAATTTTTGGAAAAGGGCTAATTATGAGTTGCAAAAGGATCCCAAGGAATTTAGCAAGAAATTAAGGGTATTCCACAAAGAGATGAATTAATTCTAAAAGTATTCAAGAAATTTCAAAAAAGAAAAAAAAAAATTCAAAGAAAAAGAATTTAATTAATTTCAAAATATTTCAAAGAAATTTTGAAAGGAAGTAACGAGTTCAAACGTATTTTTTTAATTCAAAATTTTGAAAGGAAGTAACGAGTGCAAAAGGGAAGCTCAGAAGGAAAATTTCAAACGGAAAAGATTTTCAAAGAAATTTGTGAAAAGGGTGATATAATTCTAAAGTATTTCGAATAGATTTTGTGGAACTCACGAATTAATTGGGAAGATGGAAGGGGAAGTGAGCGGGATCGGGAGTCGGGGTCGGGGTAGTGTAAAGTGAGGGGGGAGGAGTGTGCG